GACAGCCTTCATTTCTAGAATCTTGCCTTACAGGGGGCATTTGAGAAAGTTAGGAGGAAGACATATCTTTCACATGATCACCTGCAGCTCCCTCTTGATGTGCAGAACATGAGAGCCGAGAAACCAAACCGAACTCCCTGCCCTCAGGTCGATGCTGACTCAGCGACCCTACAGGGCAGGCGGGACTGCTCGTGTGTGCTGCTGCGCCTGGCCTTCTCTCCGGGAGTAGAAGGCCCTGTTTTCTCTGAAAGCCAAGAAAGGCCTTTCTAATGTGGCTCCCTTAGTGGTCAGCCAGTCTCTTCGCTCCCAGTTCTCTGCTCTTTCCAGGTCTCATGCTGATTTCTTCCAAGGGCAATATTGCTGGGGAAGCCGAGAACCTGGGTGCGCTGGCTCATTTGGAAGGATGCTTTCCTCAGCCAGTATCTGGCGTGTATCAAAGGGCACAGATGGTGGTGAGAGCAGGCTGTAGCGTCGCCCCTGCTGCCAGGGTAGTGCCCAGGGGAGGGCTGAGCACGTGCCCAGCAGTGTTGGCTTCCTCGAGTTTGGCCCCGCTGGGTCCATTGGACTTCTCCCATCAAGGGACTTGGTCATCCCAAGGAGGAATTGGAGTGGAAGGTGTTGGATGGGAAAGTTTCCCAGTCAGGAAATTAGTTGCGTTTGAGGGAGCATGCTGGGAGACATCGGGGCAAGGAGCTTGCTTACAGCCTCTGCAGCATAGTCCCTGTTAGGGTCTTTTTATGCACACATGTGTGAAGACATGTGGAAGAGCCACAGATGTATATGGAGCCACAGTTCTGTGGCCTTTGCTTGGAATTTACTTGGTTATGTGTTTAGCTACTAACTGAAAGGTCAGCAGTTCAAAACCACCACCTGTTCCTCAGGAGAAAAAGGAGGCTTTCTATTCCCGTAAAAATTTAGAGTTTTGGAAACTCATAGGGGGCAGTTCTACCCTGTCCTGTATGGTCACTTAAGAGTCAGAATGGGCTTGGTGTCAGTGAGAGAGAGGAAGTACTTAAGAAAGAAAATGTGTGTAGCATACACAGGTGTGTGTAGACTCATCTGTGCATGCATGTGTGTATAATATTGAGTTTATATATATTTATGTCCATGAA